TTGAGATATAAATGATTTTCTGTTCAGTCATCAGAATAAGACAAAAATTGTAACTAAAACAAGTAAACAGACTATTTCCACTTTAACTATTCAGCTGAAATGAAAATTTACCCATTGATTTAACACACTAGATCAATCTAATTCTACATCTAAATCCAAGAGGTTTAACTCTTAGCTAAATTGATAAAACAGTGATGGGTTGAAATTCAAGCACTGAAATGTTTTCTATACTACACTTTTCCATGTAGTCTACAACATTCCCGAATTTGTCAGATTCTGTATAGTTGCAGGTATTACTTTAGCACATTTCACTGGGTAAAATTAACACAATATTATTCTATTTTGTCTTAATGAAGGCTAGCTCTCTATTATGTTCACAATGTTTGTGGGAAAGGGGAGATAACTTTAGAACAGAAAGTCACTTAACCCTGATGCTCCAGACTAAATTGGAAAAGAGTCTGTGGAAAAGTATAATCTATCACATTCACAACGTTTTTCCAAAAGGGGGGACAACTCTGGACCAGAAAGCCACAGAAGCGGAATGCTGAATATTGATAGAGTGACCACAAATTTGAAAAGAATCCATTAACAACTGTAGCCTCTATTGCATTCAGAAGGTTTCTGCAAAGTGGACATATAATAAAATTAAGTACATGTAGTATCAGATGTTCTAAGAAAATTAAACTTTTAGCATTAACTATTTTACAGTCAATACATGCACATGGCACTAGAATAAAAAAAAAACAAAAACAGAACCAATATTTTTTTTTACTTTGCACCTGATACTTAAATGTATCACAAAAAAATAACCCACATCAAATCCATTTTAGATTTTATAAAAATTAGAATACAGCAGGTGCAAGGGACTGATATTCTAATTTTTGCTGTTCTTGACATTTAAATGCAAATACACAGAGCATCTGTTACCAGTGCTGATAACAAAAATTACTATTTTCCGAATGATAAATTATCTGAAAAACATAAATAATATTTTCTACCCTTCAGTTTATCAAAGAAATGTCCTACAACTGTTTCGTTAATTGGTTTATTATTGATCAAATCAGACAAAAAATCCTGCTGTGCCTGGTTTAACTGTATTGATCTTTTATACATATGTAGGACCAAATAAATACACAGTCGCTAAGAAAAATAATCTGCTTAAAAACAGCAAAATAACATAACAAAATAAAAAAAAACAGTATTTTATTTCTCTTTCATTACAAATAACCACAAAAATAATTAAATGAAATGAGGTTAACATATTACTTTTGTGCACGAAACAAGCTAATGAAGAAAGTCATATACCATGCTGTGTGCTATGTGGCAAATTTTGTCTGGGTTTCTAGTTACTCTTCATAGAATTCCAACTGTCAAGAGTATATTACATGCATGCCAACATATACATGGGATATTGGTTTTTTTTCATACTATCCAGATGACTAGACATTGTTTCCTGCTAGGCCCTGTACCACTGACAAGATGAAACCATGCTCAAAAATCGTGAGGTACTTGCTTGGCCAGCACAGGGATAGATAGAACCAAGGACTTTCTGGTGAGCCAGCGCCATACTCACTTAGCCACTATAAACAATTTAATATCACAACTCATATTTTGGATAGAATTTACCTTTGAGTTTAAGCTTGAATCTGAGTTTTTTTTTAAAGAATTTAATCAGCCAGGAATAAATTAGCTCGGTTGTTCACGGGTTGTGCAAAATAATTTTCGTTTTAACAACACATCAGCCATGTTCAAATAAGATTATATATATGCAAAATTGTATACCCATCTGAAACAAGTATTATCGTTTAAACTTATGAATCTCACTAATACCTAAGTATTTTTTTTAGAGCTTAACAAACTGCTTTGAAAAATTCATTACTCTAAATATTTTAGGGCTTGAATTTTCAATCAGTAATTAGGTGAGTCTAATGTTATTTTGAATATGATTCCAAATAAATTACATTTATTTTCTTGGTGACAGTGATAATACCTCTTTAACATTTAGCCAATTTCTTATTATTTTCTTTGAGCAACATTTACATGTAGCAATTGACACATGCAACAAACACAAAAACATACAATATGAATCACAATTATCATTTTAATTAAAGTGACGCATCGTCAAGGGTTTTTTCAAAGTTATCAAGCAATTGATTCCTTATTACTTATATTTGTTTCAAGATCACTAAACAGATCATTTTAGTAATGGGAACATATAATTCATTTCAATATAATAGTATTATCAATGAAAAAAACAAATCAGTAACTTATGATTTATGTATGTATTTAGACCCTACTTCACAATCAACACATCAGCCATCTTATATTTTTATGATCCTATATTAAAATGTTTACATTTCTCTACCTGTTCCCATATATATCAACTTTATTAGGTCATTGAATCATTATAAATGTCAAAGACGTCAAACTCTATCTTATCAAGATTTATATATAATATTAACGGATAAAAGAAATACTGATAGTATGTGTAGCTTGGATTTAAAGTGACGCTAACACCATAAAAACTTAATAGAATTCAGATTTTATGATTGAATCCAGTCAATAAGATGTATGCGTGTTTTAAAAGAAACCCATTGTCCTATCAACTTAAAGTTTGTGTAATTAATGTAAGCAATAGAATTATTTAATTATGGATCACTGCATATCTACTCTATAAAAAGGTTATCAATTGACGTTTTGAAAATATATCTGAGATCTTAATGAAGAACACACCCAACCATGTAACACATTTATAACAACATCCTGCTGTTATTGTTCATAGGATACTTTTGTGTTTTGAGCAAATAAAACAACCCAACGGGCTAGGTTAAAATCTAATTTATATAAAAAAAATGCAATTTAAACTCCAAGAAACAAAATCAAATTCTTAATCTAATGTTTGTCAAACTTGCAATCACATTAAGAAATTGTGCTGCAAATAATTTAAGACATAATTCATTCCATAATACAGAACAGAAATGTTTAACTTGAAATACTTTGCATAAATCATAGAATTATGTTATGAGTATAAAAAATGTGCCATGTATAACATTTTGGTTCATTCTATTCAGTTTAGTGCTGGCACGATTCACCTTCTCACACTTTGCGTATTGAATCACGAGATGCTGAATCCATGTATTGCTGTTCTTTTTTTATGTTTTTTGTTGCTTCAGTAAGTAACCTGTCACACAAGTAACACAAACACTCTTAAATTGTTTTGGTCCTTATTTTGATGTACATCCATATCGTTATAAAAAACAGTTTTATTTCTTCGAGATCGGCAGGACTAAAAATATCAATTATTCATTTAACCTGTTGTTTTCTTGGTAAATATTGACCTGGTTATGCATCATGATACAAATTGTATCATAGCACCTGAATCGCAATACATATCGTATCGTGACTGCAGTGGCAATGGCCAACACTAATTCAATTCTCACATTTGCCCACAAAACTTTTGGAGAATGGTGTGTAAATGAACTTTTGGACCAGGAACTGGCACCCACTCACTATCGTACTCATCTTGTTGTTCTTGGGGGTAGGGGAGAGGGGCATACGCTTCATAAAAAGTCTAACCAGACAATTCTGCATTTCCTGGTAATCGGTTCCTGGTACATAACGCATGTACGGTACTTAATTTGTTATAACAACAGATTTATGATTCATGCATTTTATTAAACAATGTATAAGTTTTTATCTGCATTTGGTTGAAAATAAAAATGTGTGTAAATGCATCCACAGCCTTGACGTGTCAGTTTGATATCTATTTAATTAATCTGCTTTCAAAGTCATTGCATTTTGTAATTTCTCTAATATATGACCTATAATTACATACATGTATACATACAATAATACAGGTATTTCCTGTTTAATATCTATATCCTATTAAATATGTATCAAATTAATTATAAGACAAGCTGTAACCATGACATTTATAAATCAATGTAAAGTACATCATGTTGATAAAACTAGAAAGTAGAAAATGTCCACTCCACAATAACTATATATTCCATATATTCTTCACTTTAATTCAATTCTTGTTATATAATCAAATAAAAACAAAATGATTATCTAAATTTGTGTCCACATCAAATGCTTATTTTACAGTTTGAATATATATGTCATTATATTATTGGAACACTATTTCAATATTCAATTTAATTTAAATGATCATTTTTTCTTTTTTTTATGGGTGCTTTTCCAGATTTCTGGAGATTGTGAATTTCTCATATCAATATACCTTTATTTAATTTTGAATACTAGTTGATTGTATTTAATTAATATTATTATTAAATATTTCCTATAGGAAACAATGAACTGATCACATTACAATAGTTTTATATAACTCAAATAATAAATACTAGTAAAAAACAACTCAAATAGGTTTGAAATTAGCTGGATTGAACTGCCGTATTATAGTGAGGTCCTGGTGCAATAATTGGACAATACTTGTTACTGGATAAGTAACAAATTAATTCAAAATGTTATTCTCATTTCTCACATTGGTCAACCTGTACACAATGCTGTCAATATTTTGAGCCCCATTCTGTGAAGAATAAATAATAGTACAGTACAGCAACTACCCTTTAGGCAATTAACAAGCCTCTGTTTTAGGAACGTATAACCTATGACATGTATGTAATGTATGAGTTTCAACAACAACAGATTTACACTATATAACAATAAATGATATATTGATATATAAGACTTCCATCAATCATACTCAAATTACTGTTGTTGATTACACAGAAAACTTATAAGTCTACATGGGTCATTTAATCAATAACATTAAGACGATAACAATGTTTGATAAATAATATAACATTATTCTTTTTTGTTTGTATATGGTTGATAAGATATAGACAATGCAATGCACTTGTTCAATAAATCAATAACATTCTGAGATCAAAGTGATCAAACATCAATAAATTTTCAAAAATACATTTTCTATCAAATAAAAGATGAACATTGTCAATATTGATAAATGTTTTAAGAATTACCTGCATTGTTGCTAAATATAAAAGGTCGATAGTCCTTAATACATATGGGAGTCTCCACACCTTTACTACTGCCCTTAGAAGCTGATTTCAAACCAGTCTCTTTATTTGTTGATTTAGATTCATTTGGTAAGGTCAGTTTGACAATCGCACCTTCCTCAATAACTGCCACATTTGAACTAGCCCGAAATGACATCTTCCAATTTCTTAGGTAAATATACATGTACTCTTAATTAAACAAAATTCATGACGGAGTACAGCACAAAACAACTAACTCCTGACCCACACGCCAGTCAACCGCCACACAGTCCTATCCTACACTATAACCCCTGAACTTTCAACTCTATAAGCCATGTGATCTAAGTATAGCATACATACAATGACACAGCCTTTCTCATTGGTGTAGAAATTGATAAATGTAACCAATGTAAAAAAGCAAGGAGGTATTCTATAATTAGAAATGAGTAATCGCTCATGCGGACACCTGGATCTAATACAAATAAAAAGTCAGAGCTTACTACACAATGGTCCACGTGCTGTCGCATGGAGAGTGTTTTCTTAATATAATCTCTTTGTTAATGTTGTATAACGTGGTGTGTATATTATATAAACATTATATTCACACCCCTTACTCTTTGCACATCATAATTTATACTCTTCATTCTTTAATATTTTATCATTAAGCTCATTCAGAGAGAAAACTTAATATAGACCCCTTGAGGCAGGACCCCTGAGTCCATGAAAAGAGCCCAAAGTCAGAGAAAGGGGACCCTTTGACTTCTGTGATAGGACCCATGTTAAGGCACTGAGTAACGTGTCACGAGTCATCCCATTATATACACAGACTAATTATATGCAGCACATTAAATTTGGTGTCTGTATATTTCCTTCTGGTGTGTGCATATCATCAACATTCCCCAATGTATATACTGATCTCAGGATTTAATAATCTATGGGTCAGGACTTAGGTGTACTTGAATTTTTTCATTTTATCACTGAATTAGTGATAAAAAAAGGGGGAATAATTAAAGTGACAGAAAAGTAATAAAAATAGTTGTGAAATTATGTGTATTTTTTTTATATTTTGACATTTAGTCCTGTGCCATTACTTCCCTGCCACTTTCTTCCTGATATTATGTACTGTGTAATTTTATCTTGTGAAATTATGTCTGTATTCTTTCGTTTAATATAATAATTTCTATGTAAAGTAGTCATCTTTCGTATAATTTTATTTATAAACTGTCATGTTATACCAGGTCTATAATTTTTTGACAGTTAAGTTGGCAGATAATCTGTTTCATTAAAAGGTTCAGTCAACTAAAGTGTAAAAGAAAGAAAGAAAAAAGAAAACCTTTTCAATGTTGGAAAATATGTGTATGACAGCTTCATTAAACCCAAAATGATGCATGACTGCAAGATTTATTGATTTGCTAGTTTTTTAAGCCAAAATCGATAAGGCTGCAGACGACTTTGTCATTATCCCCAGGAAGTAACTGGCAATGAGCAGACGTAATAACTATCATTAAAAAGAATAACATCAACAGTTGACGATTCTTTACCGTCCAATTACCGGTACCCAAATAATGGCATGGATTCATTCAAATTTCAAAACCCTCCAATCAATCAAATTCCACTTTTTTCCCATTTTTTTTTCTCCAAAGGTTTGATCCATTCTGCAGAAAATAAATTGTAACTAGCCAAGTTATTGATTTTAAGTTATTTGATACATTCCACAAATACCATGAGAATAGAGTAATAATAAGTCTAGATTGATTTATATTATGTAAAAATAGGATTCCAGGCAACCAACCATACGTCTACAGTATCTAAGTCGTTGGATCAGTCCAGATGTAGATGTCATATTGCTAATCTTTAATTCAATAAAAACCAGCGGCTGCCAGGCAGGATACGCCCACATTTTCGAGAGATGGATAGAGAACAAGCTAAGAAGAAAGTGATTTTTCCTATAATCAAGGGCCATAATTCAGGAAATTACAATTCGATATGCGCAAATATCGAAAAGAACCGAGATCTTTGTGTTATAAACTTACATTTTAAGTTTCAACAAAATCGGATAAAAATTGTGACTTCTATAGGGTTCACAATTTTGATATACCCTACTTTTACGCTATTTGAGAACGAAGGGTGGCCATTTTATCTGTCAGTTTTGGGCCGATTTTCACGAAATTCGAACTCAGTCATGCTTAGGGTGTAACGGTGATATAAACAATACGTTTTTTTAAATCGGATAAAAATTATGACCTCTATAGGGTCCACAATCTAAAAACGTGATTTTTCATACAATCAGGGGCCATAATTCAGGAAGTTACGGTCCGATATGCGCAAATATCGAAAGGAACCAAGATCTTTGGGTTATAAACTTACATTTCAAGTTTCAACAAAATCGGATTAAAATTGTGACCTCCATAGGGTCCACAACCTTGATATACCATATTTTTACGCTATTTGAGAACGAAGGGCGACCATTTTCTCTGTCAGTTTTGGGCCGATTTTCAAGAAATTCGAACTCAGCCGTCCTTAGGGTGTAACGGTGATATAACAATACGGTTTTTTAAATCGGATAAAAATTATGACCTCTATAGGGTCCACAAGCTAAAAACGCGTATTTTCGTACTATCAGGGGCCATAATTCAGGAAGTTACAGTCCGCTATGCGCAAATATCAAAAGGAACCGAGATCTTTGGGTTATAAACTTACATTTCAAGTTTCAACAAAATCGGATAAAAATTGTGACCTCTATAGGGTCCACAACCTTGATATTCCATATTTTTACGCTATTTGAGAACGAACGGCGGCCATTTTGTCTGTCAATTTTGGACTGATTTTCACGAAATTCGAACTCAGCCATCCTTAGGGTGTAACGGTGATATAATAATACGTTTTTTTAAATCGGATAAAAATTATGACCTCTATAGGGTCCACAAGCTAAAAACGCGATTTTTCGTACAATCAGGGGCCATAATTCAGGACGTTACGGTCTGATATGCGCAAATATCAAAAGGAACCGAGATCTTTGGGTTATAAACTTACAAGTTTCAACAAAATCGGATAAAAATTGTGACCTCTATAGGGCCCACAAGCTAAAAACGTGATTTTTCGTACAATCAGGGGCCATAATTCATGAAGTTTCGATCAGATACATGCCAATATCGAAAGCAGCCGAGATCTTTTGGGGATAAACCTATATTTCAAGTTTCGTCAAAAACGGATAAGAATTGTGACCTGTAGAGAGTCCACAAACAATTGTGGACGGACGGACGGACGGACGGGGGCGACGGCATAATACGTCCACATGAAAATGTGGGCGTATAAAAACCTACAATCTTTATTATACTGTAATATATCATTGGCACATTAATAAGATTATATGACATAATCAAGGACAATAACTATTAAAGTAATTATCAGAAAAATCTTTGTAATTGTTTTTCATCACAATAATTTTTAACAAAGAACACAGATCTGATGATGACCTTTTCTGTTATTAGTGTAACCCATTCAAAAAGGTCTGCAGAGTGAGCAATGACCATAATCACAGAAGCAATTAACAAAATTTGTTGAAATTCATGAGGTTGGTCTATTTTACTAATTTGAATGATTCCTATAAATTTCAAGCAGATAGGATAACATCTGTCACTACATGTATCTTATAAGCGTTAACGCAATTCTACAGTTCTAAGGACAATAGCTCAAGACATAACTACCAGAAATCTCTATATGTTTGTGACTGTCGTTTGTCTGTTTGGGGTTGGCAGCTAGCCGGCTACACTAGGGCAGCTCCAGTCTGAAATGTGTGGTATATAAGGGCAGCTAGAGACGAAGAATGCCAAAGGTCTTTTGATGATGCACTATCACTTCCAGTTCTGAGTTGTACTACTTCTTGTTTTATGAAAGTTCTATAGTCTTCTTTGATTTACTTATCTGGACATAACTCTAAAGATAATTCATGTAAAAAAAAACCACATAAGTTTTAAATAGATTGGAGGATAAATTTAGTCAGTGGATGTTGGTGGATAGAAATGAGTGATGGCAAAATACAACAAATGGCTTGTGATGTATAATCTCAAAATTATTCTAAAAAATAATTTACGAAAGGCTATATATCTTTATACATTAAAGAGAATTAGTTACAAAAGAATACCATGAAAAGATTAAACAAAATTTGAGATCTCACAAATGTGATTTATCACACATTCCTTTAATTGAGTTAGATTTACTCTTTTTTTCTTTTTCTTTTGATGTTTAGTTGCTACATGTACCTCTTTTATGATTATATTATAGGAGAAATTACTGATATAATTCTGTTAATAAAACTGGTTGTGTGGAATATCTTTAGCTCTGCTCGAAATAACATTAAGATAAGTTAAAATTGGACATTTTTTGAGTGTTTCACTAACACCTCTTCTTTCCTCAAACAATTCAAGTCTTGAAAAAGCAGAATTTTGATAAATCTGTTAACTTTCTATTGATAATTGTTTATGATATATACTCTTCAAAAAAAGTAGGGGATATTCAGAAACAATACAAAACTGCCGAAATGCACTGCTAATTTTATTAGAGGTAACCAGTGTATGTTAATAACAGGCCAATTGCCTACACGGGCAATTCCACGGTAACGGACGTATATTTTAAACTCGACATATCTTTATTACTTCCAATATTTTCTAACCATGAATAATTAACTGTTTGAGTTTTATATAGCATTAAAGACATATGATTTAAGTATCAATTGACATATTATTTAATTTGTTCATGAACACTGGAAATAAATATGGCTTTAAATATGAGTTTTTGAACAGTTTCATAAATAAATATGAATGAGAGAGATAAAATGGAAATATTTGGTAACATGAAATACTGTGAAAAGTAACGGACGTACATCTATGAAAACCCAAGTTATTCTGAGAATTTTTTGCAAATCTTTTCTTTTTATGTTCATTATAGTAAGAATGGGTTATTCTAGCTTTAGATATGAAGTTTTAAATAATTCTATATAAAAATATGAATGAGAGAAAAAAAATGTGATATTTTTCAATGTGGTTACCTTCACAAAAATATATTATTCCTATATTTTAATGTTTAAATATTATGTTTATATATATTGTCAGATAACTAATACGAAATCATTCATTATGAGTCAGTCAGAACAATCAAACAAAGTAAGAAAATACAATAGAATTATAAATTCGAAGTAAACCTTGACACAAGACCAAATAACAAAAAAATCGGAAGAGTTTCCACCCAAATTGAGATTTTTCTTCAAAATATGGATTATTTCCCACCATTAAGACACTATTTTTGTCCACTTCTCAACTAATTGTATACTTTAGCGTGGAATTGCCCACACATGAACATAAACAGTTCATATGGGCGGCTTATCTGACGGCCCCATTTCACTCGCAAAGAAATACACTGTCAAAAGTGAAAATGGACATTTTTGATTTTTGTCTT